TTCCCAGGAGAGGTGAGTCTGTCACCAAGAATGTAATCATGGCCTAAAGAAGAAGTAATTGCAGAGAAGTTGGGAGCTCCTTGTCCACAGCCCCTCATGAGACCTAGCAATTAGTTTTCAGTGGTGAGTTTAGGGAAGTTCTGAGTGGAAGTTCAGTCAATCAGAGGGAAGAGACTTGCCTGAGACAAATTATGTTCTAGATAATGAACCTTTTCTTCTGAAAAAACTTCAATTTTTTTGAACACCTGTGTCCTTTTGTGCAAAAATAGAAGGTGGAAAGAATTCATTTTTAGTGCTTTTCTAATCTTTATAGATTAGCAAAAGCTCATCCAATAGAGGAACTTTAAGGTCCTTGAGATCCTGATGAAGAGCTTATTTCATTTTATTTATTTATATTTATTTATTGAGTCAGGGTCTCACTCTGTCTTCCAGGCTGGAGGACAGTGGTGTGATCTTGGCTCACTGAAGCCTTGACTTCCCAGTTTCAAGCAATCCTCCTATCTCAGCCTCTTGAGTAACTGGGACTACAGGTGTGTGTCACCACACTCAGCTAGTTTTTTGTAGAAAAGAGCTTTCACCATGTTGCCCAGGCTGGTCTCAAACTCCTGGCCTCAAGAGATTTGCCCGCCTCAGTCTCTCAAAGTGCTGGGATTACAGGTGTGAGCCATCATGCTGGCCTAAGAACTTATAAGAAGTGAATCTCTGAGGCGTAACAGTCCATGTGTACTGTGGGTTCCCCTAAGGACAGCAGAACAGGCATTGACTTAAGAGAACAGGTTCTAAAGAAGGCAGAACATAGATGCACAACTGTAAAAGAGATGGCCTTGGGCGGGATTAGGGGAAAGAACGAAGTCCAGTATTTGGACTTGGCGCTGGTGGATTGTAGGGTATAATTATCTTAATGATATCCTGAAGATCATGAACTGTACACTCATGCCATTGAGTTATCTAATCAGATAGGAGAATTAGAAGGTTTGGTGCAAAGAATAATGGTCTTTTGCCTATTAGTCCTTCTACTCTGGGCCTTAATTATTTTCTTCTGGCTTCAAGGGAATTGTACGAGCCTGGGTGAAGATTGAGACCTGGTCGGTGTGAACCTTGATATGCTGAGCCCCAGTAATCCTAAAATGGTAACACATTTTTGGCTCATTAGGACTTGGTATCTCACAAAGATCTTCAAATTAATAGTGTCTGGTTTATGTATTTTTATCCAACTTAGCTATGATTTGATTACGAATAGAGATCTTAATGAATTTCAAGGAGGCGCTCCTTTCTAGGAAAATGTAATCTGGTGATTCCATTTTCATAATAAAGACTCCTTGTTAAGTTTACATGGGTGAGACGTCACAAGGGAAGGATGTTTTTAGTAAAAAGACCAGAAATATCAGCTGCTGGAATACAGCACACGGCCAGGCAGATGGAGACATCACCTCTTGTTTTTTGCTGACTCCAAGGATGGGGGGGTGAACTTAGTGGCAGGGTTGTTGTTGAAAGTGTAGCACCCCTAAACCAGAGTGTGGCCCAGAAGAGTTCATGATAATTCTTGCAATTTGAAGGACAGAATCAGAAGTGGGTGCCATCTTCTCCCTTGGAACTGTCTCATTATCTATTAGTTTCCTTTTTGCCCAAATTGAGACAGGTAGTTTTTTGTTTTATTTTTTTAGTTTTTTTGATTTTTGAGAAGAAGTCTCACTATTGCCCCCCAGGCTGGAGTGCTGTGGCACGATCTCAGCTCACTGCAACCTCCACCCTCCAGGTTCAAGTCATTCTCCTGCCTCATTCTCTCCAGTAGCTGGGATTACAAGCACCTGCCACTATGCCCAGCTAATTTTTGTATTTTTAATAGAGACGGGGTTTCACCATGTTGGCCAGGTTGGTCTTGAACTCCTGACCTCAGCCGCCTGCCTCAGCCTCCCAAAGTGCTGGGATTACAGGTGTGAGCCACCGCGCCGGGCCAGACAGTTGGTGTTCTAGCATCTCTTTTGTTTACAGTAGCAAGTATTCTTATCATTGGCATTTTGTTAGGGGGGGCATGTGGAGGTTGTGAGGCCATCCAGTTGTTTAATTCAAAAAACTATTAACTTGTTTAGGATCTTACTCTGTTTTTGCTCTAAGACTTTCTCAGAAGGTTTGGACACATGCTATAGGCCTGTTAGCAGAGTTATTTCTTATTCTAGCCTTGAAGTACCAAACCCCTAAATTTTGGCGTAAGTCTGTTCATAAGAAATGAGGATAATGTGGCAAAACATCTGCCTATTGATCTATCCCAGACAGTTGTCTGAAAGTGATTTCTAAATATTTTTTTCTTTTTTTTGAGACAGTCTCCCTCTGTCGCCCAGGCTGGAGTGCGGAGGTACAATCTCAGCTCACTGCAAACTGTCTCCCGGGTTCAAGTAATTCTCCCACCTCAGCCTCCTAAGTAGCTGGGATTATAGGTGCCTGACACCCTGACTAATTTTTGCATTTTTTGTAGAGTTCGGGTTTCACCATGTTGGCCAGGCTGGTCTTGAACTCCTAATCTCAGGTGATCCGCCCACCTCGGCCTCCCAAAGTGCTGGGATTACAGGTGTGAGCCACTGCACCCGGCTAACAAGAATATGTTTAAAGGCCGGGCATAGTGGCTCATGCCTGTAATCCCAGTATTTTGGGAGGCCAAAGTGGCAAGATGGCTTGAGACCAAAAGTTTAGGCCAGACTGGGGAACAGGAAACCCCTGTCTCTATAAAAAATTGAAAAATAAGCCAGGTGTGGTGGCACATGCCTATAGTCCCAGTTGCTTGAGAGACTGGAGCAGCAGGATTGCTTGAGTCTGGAAGGTCGAGGCTGCAGTGAGCCATGATTGTGCGCCACTGCACTCCAACCTGGGCAACAGAGCGACACTCTGTATCAAACAAACAAACAAACAAATAATATGTTTCAAAAGTAAATATCCAGGCTGGGCGTTGTGGCTAATGACTGTTATCCCAGCACTTTGGGAGGCCGAGGTGGGCGGATAACCTGAGTTTGGGAATTCAAGGCCAGCCTAGCCAACATGGCAAAACCCTGTCTCTACCAAATAATACAAAAATTAGCCAGGTGTGGTGGTGCACACCTGTAATCCAGCTACTTGGGAGGCTGAGGCAGGAGAATTGCTTGAACCTGGGAGGCGGAGGTTGCAGTGAGCTGAGATCGTGCCACTGCACTCCAGCTTGGGCAAAGTGAGGCTCTTGTCTCCAAAAAAAAAAAAAAGGAAAATAAAAGTGAGTGTTCCGCCTGCTGGAGGCATGGCATGGGCTTGCCTGAACTGAGATTACCCCTTGAGAACTGGTAAGGACCAAACCTGCTGCCTGTGTACTGACCTCAGCCCACAGCCAAAGGTTGGCTGCCTTTGACTAAAGACCTAATAACTGCAGCCCCTGGTGATCCAAGTTTTTGGAGACTTTTTTCCCAAATCAATTTCTTAGGGATAGCTCAGGGAATAATAGACTTCATAAGGTTTTTAGATGGTTACCCAAGGCAAGCTTCATCTACTGAGGGAGACTGGCATGAGGAGACCTTGAACTTGTCAGTCCTTCTGTCATGGATGCACTGGGACTCTGCATTGACCATTTATTGCCCTTTTTCTGTGTCATTACACAATATAAGACAGGACAGGATAAAGATGAGGTTAGATGAAGAACATACTTCCACCAAGAATTTTTAGAAAGATAGGTCTAATCAGAAAAGTGGCGTTTCAGTGGATGAAATATAATTTTCCTGAGAAAATTAGCCATGTCAAGGAAATTGGAGCTCACACCTGGCGTGTGGCTCCCCTCTCTACTAAGGGCAGGAAATGCAAGTGGAAGAGAGGCAAGTCCCCCTCCCCAGATGACCAGATGCAGAGTCCTGGCAATTGCAGAGAGTCACAGCTGAGTTTCCACAGGACCTCCAAATTGTGGAAAGCTTCCTCCTTAAATAAACAACCTGTTATAAGATAAACAAAACGGCTGGGCGCGGTGGCTCAAGCCTGTAATCCCAGCACTTTGGGAGGCCGAGGCGGGTAGATCACGAGGTCAAGAGATCGAGACCATCCTGGTCAACAGGTGAAACTCCGTTTCTACTAAAAACACACACAAAAAATTAGCTGGGCATGGTGGCGCGTGCCTGTAGTCCCAGCTACTCAGGAGGCTGAGGCAGGAGAATTGCCTGAACCCAGGAGGCGGAGGTTGCGGTGAGCCGAGATCGCGCCATTGCACTCCAGCCTGGGTAACAAGAGTGAAACTCTGTCTCAAAAAAAAAAAAAAATAAATAAATAAGATAAACAAACCATGAGAACACCCCAAATAGAATCCTGAAATGGCTTTCTATTGGGGAAATGCTTTTTCTTTTTCTTACAGTTTGGGTTGGGAAGTTCCTGGGATGAGACATCAAACATGGAGTGACTCTTTTGTTGATTCCTCAAGGTCATGGTTGATGTAAGTGAGTGAGGGTCTACTTGAAGAAAGAAGTGATACTCGAAACACAAAACCTTGTGCAGTTATAATTCCATAACCAATAGAGCTATCACTCTGCTTCTGCTGCTACAACTGATGGGGTGTTCTGGTTCACAGGAGTCACAGCCAAAGCCATAGGTAGAAAAAAAATCACAACCATAAATGCTCTTAACATTTATACAGAATAGAAAAGAAACAAAACCAGAATTCAAGATAATCTAGAGAAAGAATGACTAAATACACTTAATGAAATCCAGAGGAAAGGATTTATAAACAAATTAAACCTAAACCTGATGGATTAAAAAACTAAAAATTATGAAATCAATCAATAAAAGCAAGAGCTGCTGCTTTGGAAAAATCACTGGAGCTGAAACACCTTTAGCAAACATAACCAAGGAAGGAAAAAAACAAAACCAAGAAATGTACAGTAATAGTAATGCAGAGGTAGAGGTTGTAGTGAGCTGAGATTGTGTCACTGCACTCCAGCCTGGGAGGCAGAGTGATACTCTGTCTGAAAAAATAAATAAATAAAAACAAACTTCTCGTTGTCCGTACATGCTTCCTGCTGTGGCTGTCTCGGAACGCCTGTCTGCTGCTTCATGATTTTCTGCCGTCTCTTGGCAAAAATGGCAAATAATGACGCTGTTCTGAAGAGACTAGAGCAGAAGGGTGCAGAGGCAGATCAAATCATTGAATATCTCAAGCAGCAGGTTGCTCTACTTAAGGAGAAAGCAATTTTGCAGGCAACTTTGAGGGAAGAGAAGAAACTTCGAGTTGAAAATGCTAAACTAAAGAAAGAAATTGAAGAACTGAAACAAGAGCTAATTCAAACAGAAATTCAAAATGGAGTGAAGCAAATACCATTTCCATCTGGTACTCCCCTGGAAGCTAATTCTGTGGTTTCTGAAAATGTGATACAGTCTACACCAGTAGCAACCGTATCTTCTGGTACCAAAGAACAGATAAGAGGAGGAACAGGAGATGAAAAGAAAGCCAAAGAGAAAATTGAAAAGAAAGAGAAGAAGGAGAAAAAACAGCAATCAGTAGCTGGAAGTGTCGACTCTAATCCAATAGATGTTTCCCGTCTGGATCTTCGAATTGGTTGCATCACAACTGCCAAAAAACACCCTGATGCAGATTCTTTGTATGTAGAAGAAGTAAATGTTGGAGAAATAGCCCCAAGAACAGTTGTCAGTGGCCTGGTAAATCATGTTCCTCTTGAACAGATGCAAAATCAGATGGTGGTTTTACTTTGTAATCTGAAACCTGCAAAGATGGGGGGATTATTGTCTCTAGCAATGGTCATGTGTGCTAGTTCACCAGAGAAAGTTGAAATCTTGGCACCTCCAAATGGGTCTGTTCCTGGAGACAGAATTACTTTTGCAGCTTTCCCAGGAATGCCCGACAAGGGGCTGAACCCTAAGAAGAAGATTTGGGAGCAGATTCAGCCTGATCTTCACACTAATGATGAGTGTGTGGCTACACACAAAGGAGTTCCCTTTGAGGTGAAAGGGAAGGGAGTATGTAGGGCTCAAACCATGAGCAACAGTGGTATCAAATAAAATGCCTCCACTACCAAAGGACATTGGAGAAAACCTTAATAGTAATAAAGGGAAATATATTTGTCACTTGTACCTGAAAAAAAAAAGTCTCTATGTTTATCTGTCTTTACTGGACATAAAGGTTTACATAGACTTCTCCAATCATTACTTTAATCTTATCTTTTTTTTTTGAGATGGAGTCTCGCTCTGTCACCCAGGCTGGAGTGCAGTGGCACGATCTCAGCTCACTGCAACCTCCACCTCCCTGTTCAAGTAATTCTCTACCTCAGCCTCCCGAGTAGCTGGGATTATAGGTGTGTGCCACCATGCCTGGCTAATTTTTGTATTTTTAGTAGACATGGGGTTTCACCATCTTAGCCAGGGTGGTCTTGAACTCCTGACCTCATATCCACCTGCCTCAGCCTCCCAAAGTGTTGGGATTACAGGCGTGAGCCACTGTGCCTGGCCTAATCTAATCTTTATCTATGGTTCTGTTTTTTATCTCCAGGTTCAAGTGATTCTCCTGCCTCAGCCTCTAGAGTAGCTGGGATTACAGGTGTGCACCACCACGCCCAGCTAATTTTTGTATTTATAGCAGAGACAGAGTTCTGCCATGTTGGCCAGGCTGGTCTCAAACTCCTGGCTTCAAGTGATCCATCTGGCTCGGCCTCCCAAAGTGCTGGGTATGTGCCACCATGCCCCACCAAGATAGAGAGCTTTAAAAACCCAATCTCACTTCTATGAGGAAGTGCAAAATCGCAAATAAAACGAGACACTGAAATCTAGCAATACATTCCAAATCTATGATACAGGATTCTCCTTTTGCCTATGAAGGATGAACTGCCATGGGAGTCGGCCTCCTGCCATAAACAATAGAAAACTAGACAAAGTGTGTGAATCAACTGTTTTCACACGGTGGACAGCACAGGGCTGTGATGCCCAAGAGCAGGAAAACAAATGAGCCAAGTGTTAAGATGCCTGCGTTTACCACTGAGGCGGTTTCCATGACACAGAACAGAAAGGGGATCCCCAAACTAAGCCCGCAGGGCTGGCTGAGTTGAAGACAGAGATCTAAGGGCTTTTTTTTTGAGATGGAGTCTGGCTCTTGTCACCCGGGCTGGAGTGCAATGGCGTGATCTTGGCTCACTGCCACCTGCACCCTCTGGATTCAAGTGATTCTCCCACCTTAATCTCCCCCGTAGCTGGGATGATGAGCGCATGCCACCACACCCAGCTAATTTTTTGTATTGAGTCGGGGTTTTGCCATGTTGGCCAGGCTGATTTTGAACTTCTGACCTCAGGTGATCTGCCCACCTCGGCCTCCCACAGTGCTGGGATTATAGGCATGAGCCACCATGCCTGGACTACCCACCAAGAATCTTTTTAAAATGATGGTGAAATAAATATTTTTCCACACCAATGAAAGCAGAGAAAATTTATAACTAACAGATCTGCACTCCAAGAAATGTTAAAGGAAGCTCTTAGCTGGGTGTGGTGGTGAGTTCCTGTAGTTCCGGCTCCTCAGGAGGTGGAGGCAGGAGGATCCCTCGAGACCAGGAGTTCAAGTCCAGCCTGAGCAACATAGCAAGACCCCATGTCTATAAAAATAAATATTAAAAAAATGAAAATAGCTTTAAAAAGGAAGTTCTTAAGACAGAAGGAAAATGATGATAGAGTTAAGTGCAGGCAAGTCAGTAATAACATTAAATGTACGTGGTCTAACTATGCCTTTAAGAGGCAGAGGTTATCCGATTGAATGCAAACAAACTCCAAAAAACAATATAAGTTCTGACTATAGATTGTCTACAAGAAACCCATTGTTAAGAACCACGAAAGGTCTGAGATTTCACCCTTATTTGCAAGTTACCAAGGCAGCCTGCCAGTTTCATGGTTGCTTAAAGACATCAGAATCCAGGGCCAGAGCTGAGGGCAGTTTATCACTCACAACAACTGCAACAGCCAGACTACCAACATTTCTGCACCGGTTCTCAAAGTCCCAATCCCAGAGGGCAAGACGGAGGGTCAGATGACTCCAGCACACACAGAGGGCTGCATTATAGGTGTGCAAGGAATTGGGACTCTTATCATTTATAATGGGCAGTGAGCACACCAGCCCTTTGCGCTATCTTCCAAGACACAAACTTGCTTTTGTCTCCAGAGGGAGTTGCTATATTTTTCAAGTGGTTGGCCATTCAAACATCCTTGAAAATATAATCCAAAATAGGGAGTAGTTTGTTTCACTCCCAAAATGTACAGAAAGATCAAAGGAGAATTGTCTCTGTTTTTCATTAACTGTTGCAGTTTTGATAATTTGCAACAAATACGTTGTGGGTTTTTTTTTTTTGGTTTTTTTTTTTTTTTTTTTTTTGGGCGGGGTTTTACTCATGTTACCCAGGTTGGAGTGCAATGGCGCGATCTCGGCTCACCGCAACCTCCGTCTCCTGGGTCAGGCAATTCTCCTGCCTCAGCCTCCTGAGTAGCTGGGATTACAGGCACGCGCCACCATGCCCAGCTAATTTTTTGTATTTTTAGTAGAGACGGGGTTTCACCATGTTGACCAGGATGGTCTCGATCTCTTGACCTCGTGATCCACCTGCCTCGGCCTCCCAAAGTGCTGGGATTACAGGCTTGAGCCACCGCGCCCGGCCCTGGGTTTTTTTGAGACATGGTCTTGTTCTGTTGCCAAGGCCAGATGCGGTGGCCTGCTCACTGCTCACTGTAGCCTCCGCCTCATGGCTCAAGTGATCTTCCCACCTCAGCTTCCCAAGTAGCTGAGACAACAGGTGTGCACTACCACATCAGCTAATTTTTTTGTAGAGACTGAGTTTCTCCATGTTGCCCAAGATGGTCTTGAACTCCTGGGCTCAAGCAATCTGCCCACCTAGGCCTCCCAAAGTGCTGGGATTGTACGCATGAGCCACCATGCTTGGCCAACGAATGCAATAGATTATTCCTATGTACAGAATTTTTGTCTTCAAATAACAGGATCTACCCTATACACACCCCCGACTCCTACCCACCGCAACCTCCGCCTCCTGGGTTCAGGCAATTCTCCTGCCTCAGCCTCCTGAGTAACTGGGATTACAGGCATGCGCCACCATGCCCAGCTAATTTTTTGTATTTTTAGTAGAGACGGGGTTTCACCATGCTGGCCAGCTTTGTTTAAATGTTTGTATCCATCTAGGACAAATCCAGAGAGAAAAACGATACAGTACTTTGAACATTAAAAGCTTAATATAAAGAATTATTTTCTATAGCAGGAGATTAACAGGATAATACAATAGTGTATCTGTTACCCACTCCACACTCCGTAGGCTGAGATCCATGGCTCAGCCATGGCTATAGAATGGCAGACAAGTTGCTGTGGTGCCACAGTGGTGGAACTTGCTAGAAATCAGTCCTGTAGGGTGCTGAGGAAAGCTGTTTATGGGAAGATGTCTCACTACCGCGCCTCGGCTACAAACCACCTTAGAAGGTTGCAGGGGGAAGCCACTGGCCACTGAGTGGTGCTGGCCGTCCTTGGCAGCAGGCGGGCCCTGGAGAACGTCTGAGCACCAGAAGCGCTGCGGACCCCGCTGAGACTCCACCCGGCCGGAAGCAAAACACTTTCTCCCGCAATGTTTCTCGAGCGCCCTCTACCGGCAAAACTTCAGTGCCAACTGGCAAATTCTTGAAAAGGTTCAGATTAATTTTGAGACGGAGTTTTACTCTTCTTGGCCAGGCTGGAGTGCAATGGCGTGATCTCGGCCCACTGCAACCTCCGCCTCCCGGGTTCACGCGATTCTCCTGCCTCCCCGAATAGCTGGGATTACAGTGCCCGCCACTATGCCCAGCTAATTTTGTATTTTTAGTAGAGACGGGGTTTCATCGTATTGGTCAGGCTGATCTTGAACTCCTGACCTCAGATGATCCGCCTTCCTCCCAAAGTGCTGGGATTACAGGCATGAGCTACCAGCTCCAGCCAGCTCATCCTTTTTTAGAGGTGGGAATCTCACTATATTGCCCAGGTTAAAGTGCAATAGCTTCACAGGCACCATCATTGTATACTATCTCCTTGAACTTCTGGGCCCAAGACATCCTCCCACCTCAGCCTCCCGAGAAGCTGGAGCTACAGGTCTGCACCATCATGCTGGGCTTATGATTTATAGCTCATGTTATGGGTCCCTGGTGGAGGCAAGAAATAAAAATTAAAGCAGTAGCTCTTCCCAGGTGCACTCTTTCTCTACCCTTTAAGAACCTGGTTGGGCCGGGCGCGGTGGCTCAAGCCTGTAATCCCAGCACTTTGGGAGGCCGAGGCGGGTGGATCACGAGGTCAAGAGATCGAGACCATCCTGGTCAACATGGTGAAACCCCGTCTCTACTAAAAATACAAAAAATTAGCTGGGCATGGTGGTGCATGCCTGTAATCCCAGCTACTCAGGAGGCTGAGGCAGGAGAATTGCCTGAACCCAGGAGGCGGAGGTTGTGGTGAGCCGAGATCGTGCCATTGCACTCCAACCTGGGTAACATGAGTGAAACTCCCTCTCAAAAAAAAAAAAAAAAAAAAAAAACGAACCTGGTTGGAGGAACACGTTCTGATTCTCCCCCTCTCTCTGACACTTGCCACTCTCCTGGGCATTGTGTGATGATTGGTGGCCGTGTCTCTCAGGGCAAATGATCATTTTTTGCTTTCTCTTTCCTAGTTTTCCCTCTCATCACACTTTCATGTTTTTACTCCCATGAATAATAAATAACACTAATATTAAACAATATCTCCAGCTCGTCTCACTCTCCTGTTTTTCATTCTTTCGTTCTGTAAGACCTAGCCACTGAGAGCTCAGAGGCTCCCAAGTACCTTAGCTGAGAAATAGTCCCAGGGAATTGTTTGCTCCCAGGAATCCTGTTTTGGCAAGAACAGCCTCTTTAGTTTTTCTACACTGATTTAACGTCCTCAATGAACTTCTTGCCTACCCTGAAGGGTAGGGGCCTTGATATGTGGTGATGGTCCTAGACATCTGGGAAAGACATTTATTATTATTATTTTTAATTTTTTTGAAATGGAGTTTCACTCTTATTGCCCAGGCTGGAGTGCATTGGTGCCAGCTCAGCTCACT